CAATGATTAATGTATCTCATTTATTGAATGTACAGATACATAATCATTATATGATGTACAGTTGTATTGTGTATGTGATATATCTATCCTCAACTCAACAAGGGAATTGTTAGTAATTGATTCATTGACAGTATATATAGTCAGTAGTGGGAGTATACTAATAGAACAATACCAATGAGTAAATATCTTTACATAAAAGGACTTGTAATGAGTACAAATTTCCTCTTGATTAGATTTATTCCTTATTAGTCTCACATAGCCAGTCCCTCCCTCTACAAAGCAAGGGTCTGGTCTATTACCATACATTACCTCATTCATCTTTCAACCTTACTTCTGGTGGAACTAAGTACACTAAACATTGAATAACCTCATGTGTATATTATGAAGAGAGAAACCTCCTTTTTGGGCCAGGATTAATTATGCTAAGCATAATTGAATTACCTGGAATTTAATTATTTACAAATTGTGTTAGATGGTGCATGAAATCCACTAAATTAGGAATACCAGTAAACATTAGTCCAGTGTATTGTAGATAGTATAATGTGTTATCATAACAATGTCAGTAATGGGACCCTCATCTAGTAGTGTAGTAGTTTGTATCTCTTCCACTGGGTATTTATGTAATATTGTCACTAGGTGTTCCTCCTCCTACTACCCTAGTCCTAGTCCTACTTACATGTGTCCAGTCATAGATACTCAATGATTCAATGTATACTAATACACCAGACACACTCTTTGTAGAGGGAGGGACACTCTCTTTCCTTATAAGGATATACATGTACATGTACTGTATTGCAGGATTTATTGGTGAGGGATTAAATTTGTCAAGTCCTTAAATTACAAGTATACTTCAAATTGAAACTCACAAATTATTGTCAATTATTAGCTGCCACGTGTTAGGAGTTAATGAAGTTACCAAAATTTAATTGGCCAACCTATCAATTTAGACAATTTCTCGAAAATTTTTCACCGTCAATAAATACTCTCATATGTTATACAAGTACATGTAAATGAATGGCTCAGTTGTTTGTGTATTTTTCCATTAAAAGTTGTTTTTATATGTACATGTATTGTTTATGTGTTGTTTATGGTCAGTTATTGTCACTGGTTACATATTCTGTGAATTTTGTGTTTGAATGAGATTATGTGATAATGAGACATAGGAGTGATTAATATTACTATTATAATAACTGTTAATAATACACTCATTCACTTGTTAATACTGTAGGACCAACAGTTGTATATTGCTGCTCGAGATGGAGATATTAAAGGAATGAAAACTGCCCTCTCTAATGGGGCAGATATCAACTGGAAGATGCCCCCAGTAAGTATATGATGTAGTGACTAGTGTATTAGTATGACTTGTATAATGTAAAAGTACCTGCAGTTTAGTTATAAATCAGTTTATTATATTAATATTGTGTAATTACCGTATTTCCTAATGAAAGCACCTAGGCATTTATTCTTATAGACCCGTTTGCTGGGTGTTTAAATGAAGTAGGTGTTTATATGAGGATAGACATTTAAATTCATTGCCGAGGAGTCTTCTTCTATGAGCTTCCTTCTCAGCTACAACTGCTATGTTGCCTGTAGTGTGTGCCAGTAACCACGTGGGCAAAGTGCGTGTGGCATAGGCATCTAAACAAGCATGGGCATTTATTGTCAATGTTTTATGCTGTCTTTAGGCGTTTATACAGGTACGGGCATTTATTGGGAGTAGGTGTTTCCATGAGGAAATACGGTATGTTCCTCAAACACAGTATCCTATTGATGACACTCATAGTCCCTTCTTTCTGGTGGTGTGTGTTTATTCAAGGATCAGTCCTTATTATCTTTATTGCATTTTATGAGGAAACAATGTATTTTATACATTTCTATTGTGAAGGATAGCACACAACATAACAATGTTTGTATAAAATACATTGTAGTTATATACCATACATTATAACTAATTATTCAGTCATTGAATTATTATGCTTGTATTATTAGTTACTGGTTGAATATACTGTGATTTTATAGAACTGTATAATAATGGTGTAATAAAATTGATTTTATTTATCATTTTGTATGTACTTTATTTGTTGTGTTTATTTCTTATAGAGTAAGTGGACTCCATTACATGTAGCAGCTCATTTTAACAAGAGTAATGCTGTCCAGTGGTTACTCAGTCAAGGTGCTACTATTGACTCAAGAGATTGTGTGAGTTGTATATTGAATGATACACACATTATTACAACATGATGTAATGTAGTACATGCTAGTTGATAATAAACCAGTTCCAATACATGTTTTTCTTTATATTTATTTGTGTGATATTCCAATATTATTTATGTATTAATTTACCTTGCACGTTGTAATTTTTAATGTGATAAATTTTGTTGTACACATTTTTGTGAAGAGTATACTGTGCCATCATGAATTACATGTATAGTACATGTATTTGAATTATGTGTAAACATGTACATAATACATGTACAAGTAGTATGATCTTTTGATATTTGTGTATACCTTAGGAGACAATTGTTTGCGGGTATTTAATTTAGCGAATTTTAGCGATTTAAAAAAAATCGTTAACTTAAGTCCGCGCTAATTTAAATTTCCTCATTGAAAGTGGGTGTTATCACAATGATAAAATGGCGGCCGTCAGCAAGTCTGAGCTTACTTGCAGCAAACGGTCAGCAAGATAATACTAAACTGCTGTCCAAACTCCAAAGACTTCTCTAGCAGTTAGCCTAGGTTAATAAAGCAGATGACAATCTTCTTCGTTCAGTGACTGCTTCTAACTGTAAGCAAGATAACTTTACTGTGACATGTTAAATGGCTGCAGAGTCAGTGATGAAGCAATTTAAGCAAGA